CAACCCCAAAGTCACAACCTTTCTTCTGATACTACTCAACAGTCTGATATGAATGTGTGGTGAGTATTAACATGAGGTTTTAAATTCTCTCTGTCTCAAATAAATAAATAAAAAATCTTTAAAAAAAAAAAAACTTTCTCAAAAAAAAAGAATAGCTAGGTTGTAGTGAGTGCTTACTTACATAGGTTTCCAGGCACTGTGGAAAAGAGCCATACACCCGCCTCATTATCCTCAATTCTTATCATCATCTTCATGTGGATGAGGAGACTGAGGCTCAAGTTCAGTCACTTGCCTAGGGTTGCACAGGTAATAAGTTACAGAGCTGAGATTCAACCCAGTTCTATTTGGCTCCAAAGCCTGTGGTCCTAACAACTATGCTATTCTGCCCAAACTCTTTAAGCTCAAACCCTTCAGTTATTTAAGATCCTGGAAATCTGGCCCTATTTTACCTCTCTAGTTTTATCTCTCATTACTTCATTGTACAAACTCTGTTTCAGTCAAGCTAGTCTCACTACCCTGAAACCTGCTGTGTCTTTCCCTCTAAGCTTTTGTTCACATGGTTCCTTCTGCTTGGAATACCTTCCCCTTCACCCTGTGTTTGTCCAGATTTTAAACTACTTTCAAGGCCTAGGTCACATTTTATTTATTTTTTTAAGATTTTATTTATTTGTCAGAGAAAGAGAGAGCACAAGCAGGGGGAGCGTGGCAGGCAGAGGGATAAGTAGGCTCCCTGCTGAGCAAGGAGCCTGTTACGGGACTCGATCCCAGGACCCTGGGATCATGACCCTGGGATCATGACCTGAGCCGAAGGCAGACGCTTAACTGACTGAGCCACCCAGGCACCCCTAGATCACATTTTAATTCACACAACTCAACCCACTTTTCTATTCCAGACTACCCATAACATGTATTGTTTATATTGACAATAATATTTAAACTCTTGATCATACACTGCATCAATACAAAATGTTTCAGCACATCCTTCCAATATATGTAAATAATGTATCCAATACAGGATGGACATATACTACCAAGCTAGTATATAATATGAATCACTGAATATATGCAAAATACAAATATAAAAATGATGAGCTAAAGATGAAATGATGTTTTTAGAACATTTTAAATTGTATTTTATTAACTATAGGTCATTATTGAGAGTGAATATGAGTTCATATTTCCAGTAGTCTTCATGATTTAAGATTATTTTAGCCAGTGCCTTGATAGAGATTAGCTCAGCATTGTGTTTTCACAAGAAGGTGGCAGATGATGTGTACTTTGCTAGGTAGGAGCTTCACCTTTGTCATTTCCCTGTCATTCACTTAGACTTGTATTACAAATCTTCTGTCCAACATTTCTTTATAGAAATCTTGTTAAGATACTTGTCTATTTTGTGGAACTTGGTTTAATTAAAACTAGATAATATATCCAAATGGCCACCTAACTTGCAATTAGTTATAATTAGCTAAAGGCCAAAAACATGCTGGTGTTTTGCAAGATCTTTGGACCCTCTGGGCTGAGTGAGGGCACCTGTGTCAAGATGTCTACTATTAGCAAACCTTCCTTTCTTACTATCTTAGATTTTAAAATATATAAATTGAATTTCTGTGTTTTTCTTTTTGCTTCCCAGTGGATCACCTTGTATACTTCCTGGGCTATGATCATGCTTACTTTGGAGAGCACCAACTTAATGTGTATAAAGCTTGTCTCTCAAATGTGATTCTAGGCCATTTTAGGGAAAGCTCATCTGCTTATTTCATGTGTTCCCCATAATATTTAGCACCATATTTGCCCAGCACTATCCTAGGTACTTTATTATGTGTGAAATACGTTTTTTAAAATACCAGGATGAACTTAGACTGTGCAATTTCTTAAAGCCATTTCAACCATTTTTAAGAGTACAATTCGGTGTTATTAAGCACATTCACAATGTTGAGCAACCATCATCACTTTTCATTTCCAGAAATTTTTCATCATGCCAAACAGAAACTCCATACCCATTCAGCAGTAACTTCCTTTTTAACCTCAATCTCCTGTAACCGCTGTTCTACTTTTTGTCTCTATGAAGATTTGTATTCTAGGTACCTCATAAAAGTGGCATCATACAATATTTGTTCTTTTGTGTTTGTTATTTCACTTAACATAATGTTTGCAGTATTCATCCATGTTGTAGCATGTGTCAGAACTTCCTTTTCATGGCTAAATGATAACTCCATTGTATGTTTATATCACATTTTTTAATCTATTCATCTGGTGATGAACACTTGGGTTGTTTCCACCTTTTGGCTATTGTGAATAGTGCTACTAATGAACATTGGTGTACAAGTACCTGTTTGAGTCCCTTTTTTAATACTTTTGGGTATATACATAGGAACAGGATTGGTGGATCATATGGTAATTCAATGTTGAACTTTTTGAGAAACCATCGAATTGTCTTCCACAGAGTCTGCACCATTTTACATTCCCACCAACAATGTGTAAGAGTTCCAATTTCTCCACATTCTCACCAACACTTGTTTTTTTCTGCATTTTAAAATAATAGCTATCCTAGGGGCACCTGGGTGTCTTAGTTGGTTAAGCGTCTGCCTTTGGCTCAGGTCATGATCCCGGAGTTTTGGGATGGAGTCCTGCACTGGGCTCCCTGCTCAGCAGAGAGTCTGCTTCTCCCTCTCCCTCTGCCCTTCACCCTGCTTGTGCTCTCTCTCTCTCAAATAAATAAAGTCTTTAAAATAAAAGAAAATAAAATAAATAAAAAATAATAGCTATCCTAATAAGTGTGAAGTGTTAGCTCATTGTGGTTTTGAATTGCATTTCCCTAATGACAAATGTTAAACATCTTTTCACGTGCTTATTAACCGTTTGTATGTCTTCCTTGGAAAAATGTCCGTTCAAGTCCTTTGCCCTTATTTTAATTAGGTTGTTTATCTTTTTGTTGTATTATAGAAGTTCTTTATATATTCTGGATATATAAAATATAAGATTTGCAAATATCTTCTCCAGTTCTTTTTTCAAAAGATTTTTTAAATTAATTTTTTTTTTTAAAGATTTTATTTATTTGAGAGAGAGCGAGAGAGCATAAGCAGGGGGAGTGGCAGAGTAAGGAGCCCAACACGGGGCTTGATCCCAGGACTCCAGGATCATGACCTGAGCCAAAGGCAGATGCTCAACCAATGAGCCACCCAGGTGCCCAATTAATTTATTTTAGAGAGAGAGAGCACCAGAATGGTGAGGAGGGGCAGAGGGAGAGAATCTTCAAGCGACTCCACACTGAGTGCCGAGCCAGACGTGGAGCTTGATCCCACAACCCTGAGATTGTGATGTGAGCCAAAATCAAGAGTCAGACGCTTTTAACTGACTGAGCCACCCAGGAGCCCCTATCTTTTCCAATTTTGTAATTGTCTTTTCACTCTCTTGATAGTGTCTTTTGATACACAAAAATTTTAAACTTTATGAAGTCTAGTTTATCTGTTTTTTTCTTATGTTACCTGTGCTTTTGTATTATATCCAAGAAATCATTACCAAATCCAATTCATGAGGTCTTTGCCCTATGTTTTCTTATAAGAGTTTTATAGTTTTAGGTCTTACATTTAGGTCTTTCATCCATTTCGAGTTAATTTTTATACATGGTGTAAGGAAAGGATTCAACTTCATTCTTTTGCATGGGGATGTTCAGTTTTTCCAGCACCACTTGTTGAAAAGACCATCCTTTCCCCAGTGAATGGTTTGGCACCCTTATGGAAAATCAATTGACCATATGTGCGGGTGTTCATTTCTGGGCTCTCTGTTCTATTCCATTGATCTATATGTCTGTCCTTATGCCAGTACTTCACGATTTTGATTACTGTTGCTTTATAGTAAGTTTTGAAAGCAGGAAGTGTGAGTCCTCCAAATTTATGCTTCTTTTTCAAGATTGTTTTGGTTATTCAGGGCTCCTTGAGATTCCATGTGAATTTTATTTTTTCTTCCATGTGAATTTCAGGATGGGTTGTTCTATTTCTGCAAAAAATGCCACTGGGATTTTGATAAGCATTGCATTGCATCTGTTGATCACTTTGGGTCGTATTGCCATCTTAAAAATACTACATTTTCCAATTCATGAACACAGGATATCTTTCCATATGTGGGTTATTTTTTAAATAACTATTTATGTGAAAAATGATACTTGCATTTATTAAAAAAATAAAGGTCAAACAATATGGTAAAGTACAAAGAAAGAAAGAACAAATTACCCTAAATCTCACTACTCATTGATAAGTACTGTGAACTTTTTGGTGAACATCCTTTAGAACATCTCTTGTTTATAATTTTACATAAATAGCCTCTGAGGGTTTTTTTTCCTACTTAATATGTAATACATGTTTTTCAATGTCAATTACTAGATTTAAATCATGTTTGCACATAGGGGTGCCTGGGTGGCTCAGTCGGTTAAGCGTCTGCCTTCAGCTCAGGTCATGATCCTCAGGGTCCTGGGATCCAGTCCCGCATCAGGCTCCCTGCTCGGCGGGGAGTCCGCTTGTCCCTCTCCCTCTGCCCCTATCCCCTTCTCATATACGCTCTCTCTCTCTCAAATAAATAAATAAAATCTTTTAAAAAAATAAATAAATCATGTTTGCACCCTCATTTAATTAAACAAACCGATACTGATAAACATTTAGTTTGCTTTGCACTGTGAGTAATATTTATTAATATCATAGTATTAATGGTAGGAAAAATAGTATAATAATGAATGTTTGATGTTTGCTCTTTTGAATGAAGAAAACTACAAAGTTTTTCATCTAAAAAGTTTCTGCGTATTTGATGTACTGTAATGCATTAGTAATAGATGTTTGGTGTAGTAGGTGCAACAATTAAAAGTAGAGAACTAGACACTTGTTTAGAGATTTTATACTCTAGCTCTTCTATAGCCCAGTGAATAATAATAAAGGTACAACGAAATGAAATAATTTTGTCAAACCATAAGATCTGGTATTCATTTATTCTCACGTTCTGCCTTTCAGGAAGAAGGCATGAATTTAGTAACTAGAGAAGCAATGCATGAATGGTGAGTAGTGTACTTTGAATTACTAGTCTGATCATCTCTATATTCAGTTACATCTTTTCTTTTAGTTAGGCAAACTCCAGTACTGATATCTCTCCTTTTGCAGGGAGGTACAAACCGCAATACGGATAAGTCGGTCTTGGGAAGAAAGTTTGAACCTGGTATGGTATTAACACTTCAATTTTATAGAAAATTTGCAATTTTTACTGATTTTCAGTATTGGCACTACCTAGTTTTGCTGTAATTTCTAGAAATCTAAGCTCTCACTTGAAATTGAAATTTATATGCTGCATAAATAATTTTTGATTGCTCCTAAGAAACAGTTGATGACTTACTCATAAAAATAACTGATATCATTTGAAAGTGGGGTTCAAAGTAAATAGTTGTCTGATACAAAACCATTGTTGTTGTGGACCAGCTTCCTCTCTGTCCTAGTGAGTCTAAGAAAAGTTCAGTTCTGCTGGTCAAATTGCTTAGATGACAAAACAATAAATGATTTCACTCCTTCCTACCTAATTTATTAACTAGGTATTAGAGTTTCAACCCACAGACAATGGGTTTCCTGGATAAATACTACATTTCTATGCCTGTAACACATATACTCCCACTAACATTTTAACATGCAACCTTTAATTTGAACATATTTGGAATTTAGTTACATCCCCTGCTAACATTTTTTAATGTCTCTGTACACATTATGATTACTTAGTTGTGGAAGTTGAGCAATGTTTAGGGTTCTTTTCCATGGACATTTCAGATAATGATAGAGAATTGAGCTGAAAATTGGGTAGAAGAGATTCTGGCTAGATGTCAGTGTCCAGATTTGGGAGTCACTAGATTAGGAAATGGGTCATCAGCAGAAACAGTGACATCTTATTTTCCTTTGGCCCTGAGTGCCTTAGATGGACATCTGTTCCTGATTTAGGAGTAGGTCCTGAAGATTGAGTAGATAACCTCTGAAGCCTGCCCCTTTTCATGTTTAGTGCTAATACAATTTATAGATGCTGTTGGATTCCCTTAACTGACCCAGTTCTAATTACTTCAGGGGTTGGCACGAGTGAGTGAATCTGTGAATGTGTTAGGAAGAGGAAGGGAACATGTAACATAACTATACTGTGTCTTGGAAAAGAAAAGAGCACATTTTAAAGTCCTGAATTATGCAGTACTGATTTTGTCCACATAAAATCTATAAACATTTTTTAATAACTGTAGTTATTTTTGCTGTCCCATTTGTATCTTAGTTCTAACCAAATCCTTTTTTATTGTTTCCTGGACATAGCATTGTAGTTTCCAACAACAAAGCACAGGTCAGACGCCAAGAGAAAAATTTTAATTTAGGATTTGTGTATATACTAGTAAGTATTGCTCGATATCAAGTGCTCACATTCTAGGCCTTTTGGGGACACTCGGGAAGCCCCTCAACTTGCCATGAGCTCTCTTTCCCAAAAGGAAAGAGTGAAGTGAATCTTGGGTTCCCTGCTTGCTTTAGGATGATATGAGCTCCTCACCATGGTACAACCACTGATTCAGTAAGGATTCCCTTGCCTGTGTAGCAGCTATCTCCCTAAGTATGTGCTAGGGAAGCAGCTGCTGCTACAATGCTACACTGCTTTCTGCTTACACAGAGTGACAATGATTTAGAGAAACCGTCTTCAAAGCGCATCGATTTAATTCCAGTGTCCCCAGCAGCTCCTCCCACCAGGGGGATTGGGAAGGTAAGAGAGGAGAACCTAAGAATCTGTGTCCCTTGAAATTTTTATAAAATATTAATGTTTCACCACCCACATGTTGGGGGGATATGTTTTGCCATAGGACATCTGATTCTAAATGACATTTTCCCCTTCCTTTTCATCTCTTGAACTATTATTAACATATAACAAAAGTCACCAGCTTTTAAGTATATGATTTGATTAATTTTCGTAATTGTGTACAATCCTGTAACCATAACCATAATCAAGATATAGAACAGTTCCCACACTCTAAACAATGTCCTCGTGATCTTTTGCACTTGCTATCCTCTACCCCTACCCCCCTCCCGCCCCGCCCACCCTAGAAAACCACTGATCTGCTTTCTGAGAAGAGTGGTGGTTTTAAAACGTCTGTTCTATTTTGGTTTTAGCAATGTTTTCCTCCATCGTTACAAACTTGTGTGAGTTGCACCACTATGCCTCCAAGCCCTTTTCCCAGTCCTACGCGACAATTTACAATGTAAGTTCATGTTGTATGAAAATATACCAAATTGCTTATAAAATGAGAATTTTAGAAACTTACAAGAAATAATAGCTCCAGGTTCTATGACAACCAAAGAAGTCGTGTGTTTTTAGCTAAATTAAAATGCCATTGTTTTGATTTATTATTTTGTATATTGAAAAGAATTGAGTGACTAAGAACATGTGAGAACATGCGAACACACGAAGAATCAGTAATTCATTAGCCCTGTTGAACATATGCTTCCTCTCCAAGCTTGATGATAAGGATCAGAGCTAATTCGTAAACTGTAAACAACTGTACCTGGTCATTTACCCATGATTTTCACCCTGATTCAAGGCACGTCACAACTAGAACTGTAGGTCTTTCTAGCTTTTCTCCCCCTCACAATTTCAGAGAATCCTGAATCCTTACAAATTACAAGACAGTTTGCTATCCTGAAGCATTCCTGTTTTTAACCCAGGTTTAGAGGAGAGCAATAAAACAATGTGATACTACACAGTCCTTTTTTAGTGTATGTCCTTAGATCTATTATAATGAAATAGTCATAGCTGAATTTGTTCAAATTTTTTCTTGTAATGATTGTCATAATTTTATTTTAGAAGAAGTCAAAACCCCACCAACATTATTAGACCAAGTATCTGTGGACCATTAAAAAGAAAAGGTACTTTTATCTACCAGCAAAAATAAATATAACTTCGAATTATTTTTATAAAATATCATATAAAATCAAGTGTTATAAGAAATTAATTTTAAAGGATTTTTTATTTAAAATATATTTGATAAGTTACTAGAGGCCTTTCGTTTTACTCAAACAAAACTATGTAAAGATAATTTTAAAAGCTGTAAAGTGCCATATAAATGTGAATTGAGAAATTTAATTCCAGTTTAGTCAACTATTATGATTTTCATTATATAATTCACCAAGCTAGCTGCCTTAAATACTTTCTGAAACAAGGTGGGGGATGAATGAATGAGCAAACAGAATGAATCAGTCCTAGTATTCCGCTGAATCTCGACCCCTACCCTGCCTGCCGCTGTACCTACTTGTTGACTTCACATGAATAAGTTGACACAAATCAGATCCACTTACTACACTAAAAATATATGCTATGTTTCATGCTATGTTAATTTTGGTTAAATATATGGAAAGTGACCCACCCAGTAATAAAAAGGCAGAAGAAAAAAACAGAAGTTGTTTTTTGTTGTTGTTGTTTGTTTTGTTTTTTTTTAACTCCCACAGCCCTGGATCCCATTTCTCAACCCTGCCTCATAAGCTAGGTTGCTCTTCCTTTTTTGTTAATACCACTACTGGGTTTATAATAGGAAGGGAAAATGGATAAATAGGAAAGGAGGTTAAACTTTTAAAATGCATATTTGTGAAAAATCCATTAAGATAGGAAAGAAGAAGGAGAAGAAAAAAAGAGGAGGAAAAGGGGGAAGAAAAGGAGAAGGGGAAGGAGGAGAGCGAAACTATAGGGAAAGAAATTGAAATTTAAATGTACTTCAGTCTTGCTTGTATTTTGGATTACTTAATGGCAGTTGTCCTAACAACACATCTAACTCAGCATGTACTTATTATATTCTAAGACTAAGACTAGATCAATTCCGGAAAACACTCTTTCAAACTAAGCACTTTGTTTTATGATGATGGATCAATGACCTAGCTTAGGGGTCTTTTGCCTGTGCTGTGAAGTTAGGGGCTAATGTTGACAAAACATTTAAATATATTAAGTTTAAGAGCTGTTAGAAAGTTGGGGTCATTTGAGTATTTAAAATAAAATATGCTGGGGCGCCTGGGTGGCGCAGTCGTTAAGCGGCTGCCTTGGGCTCAGGTCATGATCCCAGAGTCCTGGGATCAAGTCCCACATCAGGCTCCCTGCTCAGCGGGAAGCCTGCTTCTCCCTCTCCCACTCCCCCTGCTTGTGTTCCTGCTCTCGCTGTCTCTGTCTCTGTCAAATAAATAAGTAAAATCTTAAAAAAATAAGATAAAATATGCTTAGGGGCACCTGGCTGGCTCAATTGGTGGAGCATGTGACTGATCTCAGGGTTGTGAGTTCAAGCCCCATGTTGGGTGTAGAGATTACTTAAAAATAAAATCTTAAAAAAAATAAATCAATAAAATAAAATACGCTGGGCGCCTGGGTGGCTCAGTCAGTTGGGCGACTGCCTTCGGCTCAGGTCGTGATCCTGGAGTGCCGGGGTCGAGTCCCGCATCGGGCTCCCTGCTC